GCACTTGGCAGTCGCATATGCTGAGAGCTGACAATCAGGCTTCTGAGGATAACATTGTTCCATACACTGACCCCATCTTGAAGAACAATCCCAAGGAGCATTGCGCCTTTTTACATGAGCTCTCGAAGAGAAACATGATTAAGTATAGACTCGCGAACGGTGAGAAGGGTAAGTTGGGTGTTTTCTTTGTTGCCAAGAAGAGCGGTCAGTTGAGACTTATTTTTGACACCAGGCTGCTCAATCAAGCATTCCATGATCCTCCCTCAACAGACTTGCCTTCAGCAGATCCTTTCACACGACTGGAGATGCAGGAGGGCTCACAATTTTACATCGCTTCTGGAGACCCTTCAAACGCGTTTTATACTTTGCAAGTCCCCCCGCACCTTGGAGAGATGTTCCCACTGCCCGCTGCCCAGGCTGGAACCTTGGGCATTACGGCCATCGACGGCATCAGCGTGGAGCCAAGTACTCAGATTCTTCCCTACTTGACGGTCTTACCTATCGATGGCCGTGGGCGCCCCACTTGTGTCAGATGGTGCTTATGCATGGTATCCGTAGCGCTGGTTTCCCTGAGCATTGCACCATTGGTGACAAGCGGTTGCCGGTAATTGCATGTACAAGGTTCAACTGGTGTTGGCGTTGCAGGTTATGTCGACAACTTCGGGGTTTTTGGGAGCAGCAAGCAGCATGTTGACCAAGGCCTTCGAAGGATCTCTGAGACCTTGAGGGGCCGGGGTCTGACGGTGCACGAAGACGAGGAGGCATCCTTAACTGGTGACTTTGTTAGTCTTCACTTCAATGGGGCTACTGGTTATGTTTCCATCAAGCCTTCAAGGTTGATCAAGATAAAAGCTGGTATTGATGACCTCCTTCGAAGACAGTTTTGCACTGGCCGAACCTTGCAGTTAGTGTTAGGGCCATGATGACCAAAAAAGAAGGTTTTTCTCTCCTGCACCAATCCTGCAGTTTTTGTCGCAAACATCTTGATGAGAACGTTCGACTTTGGCCTTCTGTGCGTAAAGAACTTAGCTGGATATCCTCGCTTCTGCTTCTTTTTCGGATGAAGCTGAATTGTGGTTGGAGTGATCATGTCATGGCTTCATTCTCTTCACCATGGGGGGTAGGTGTGTGTTCTCGAAAACTCGATGTTGCAACAGTACAATCATTTGGCAGAGTTAGCGAGAGATGGCGGTACAGATTTGAAGATGCTGCTCGTGCCCGCAAGCATGCGCTTGTGCGAGACCTCAGCTGAGCCTGGGTCTGACGGTGTTGCACAAAAGATGACCCCGGTGATGACCCCTCCTTCAGCCGATTCATCATTGACAACGGTTTTAATGCGGTTCCTGAATCTATCAATCTATCATGAAGCGGGGTGATTGGTCAGTTGTGTGGTCCCGTCCATGGAAGTACCAAGCAAACATTCTCAACACAGATCTTCGAAGCACGCGGGCTTGCATGGTCGATTGAGCACCTTCTCAGGGTCAGTCGGTGCATCAACAAACGACTCCTTTGCTTTAGCGACAACCTTCCTCTTGTGCTCGGCTAGGGCTAAGTCTGCTCATCTCACCAAACCTCTGCGCAAGATTGCCGGGCTTTGCTTCGCTACTGGTTCAAGAGTTTCTGTGAGGTGGGCTGCGTCGGAGCTGAATGTTGCCGACGAACCATCGCGTGCTATCGCAGCCTGGAAGTCTCCAGGCTGGGAACGCTGGTGGAATGACTTTGAGAAGGACGTTGACTATCGACCAAGACAACCTGGGCCTTTCAGTCACAGTCAGCAGAAGCCACCGACGGAATCTGCTGAGAAGGCTGAAGGTCAAGGAAGCCACAGCCGCGCCGCCTTCTTTGACTTACCTGGAAACGAGGAGTGTGAGGCCCCCAGCCATCAAAGACTACCAGAAAAGATAGCAGAAGTTCACCCAATGTATGACTCAGGTAGGGCTTTAGCAGTGAACGATCAAGAGCTCAATTGGTGCCTGGTAGAGTTCATGAACGAGATGTTCGAGCGTGGGGAGGGGATCGACACCGGCGTGAGGACTCACGCTGCTCTGAGATTCTTCTACCCACACATCGGCCGTCCCTCAACAGGAACGCTTCCACGAAGCATCCAAGCCCTGAAAAGGTGGACGGCGGCCGCGCGGCCGTGCCGCCTCAGCAGCGGCTTCCGTTGCCAATCGAGGCCCTGGGCGTCATCATGATGGAGCTGATTGTCAAGGGGAAGCCACAGTTGGCACTCAGACTCTTTGTGCAATTCCTGACGTATCTTCGACCTGGAGAGCGCTCAACACTGAAAGTACAGCAGCTGGTGCCTCCACAGATCGGGGGCGGCGGCCGCTTTCAAAATTGGGCCATTCTTCTCCATCCAACCAAGGATGGGGCGCCTGGAAACACTGGAGTCTTCGATGCGATGGTGGTGATCGACTCGGGCCCTTGGATCAGCCAACGCCTAGCGAGCCTCATTCAAGGGAAGCAGCCAAACGATAGCTTGTGGTCCGACCCGCATCATGTGCTGGTGGCCGAGCACCGCAAGGTGACGGAGATGCTGGGTTTGCAGAGCCTAGGAAGCTGCCTATACACCCTTCGTCATGGAGGCCACGCACGACAGTGACCAGACGCCGGTCTACGCTGGAAGTGAAGCAGAGAGGCCGTTGGGCTTCGGACAATTCGCTGAAACGATATGTCAAGCTTGCTTGCCTTCAATGCGAGCAGTCCAAGATGTCTCCAGCTCTGATCAAACGGGGCCAAGATGTTCTCAAGGCACTTCCCGAACTTTTAAGCCGAAACCTTGTATCTCTATAGGACCCTAGGAAGTCCTATGCCATGCCGGGAATCACCGCAGGCTGCAAAGAAAGCAGCTGCTTGCCCGGTATAGGATTCTCAAAGTCTACTGCCAAATCCAAAATGTCCAGAAGCCAGATTTTGCAGTCTCTTTTCAGGCAAGCTGTTCAGGGTGCCAAGTTTCGCAAACGACTTGTTTTTCTTGATCTTTTTTGCGGTGATGGTGGCGTTTCTAAAGCCATTCGTAGACAGGGTTTTGCTGTTGTTTCAATTGACATCAATAACCACCCCAAGCTTGACCTGTGTGCACCTGACGTGCAAAAACTGATTTTTGGCTGGATTCGCAGCCGCTGCATCATTGGAGTTTGGCTGGCCACTCCTTGTACCACTTGGAGTCGTGCAAGGCATGGCCCAGTCGGCAGTTCATGGGGACCTCTTTGTGATAAGCGTCACTTGTTTGGGCTTCGCGGATTGTCCCCCAAAGATTGTGATAAGATTCGCACTGGTAACGCTACTGCCCTTTTCACCTTGGAAGTCACTCGGCTTTGCCAGCTTTTTCGTGTGCCTTGTTTGCTCGAGAATCCCAGTGGCTCCATGCTTTGGAAACTTCCCAAGCTAATTGGTTTATGTGATTGGTTTTTTTCTGTCTCTTTCGTCACCTATTTTTTGTCAGCATGGAGCACGATGGAGAAAGCGCACCAGAATCCAAAGTTTGCATTCACCTGACATTCCTCCTTTTCATCGGCGGTGCTGTGGTCATGGGGGGATTTGTAGTGCCACTGGTAGTATCATGTTGTTCTTAAGGGGCATGATCCCTGTTTCCAAGTTGTTGTGGACTCACCTTGCTCAACCTTATCACCCCAAATTCGCACTAGCCGCAGGAAATGCCATGTTACACGCCGCAGATGACATGTACCTCTATCCTTCGACAGCGGTATGGCAACTAAGCTAGCCTTTGAGTGAACTCTATTTCTCTTTCGGCTTCACCAGTTTTCCGCTATGAGACTCCAAGGCAATTGGGGTGAAATGTCAGCGCCTGGCTCTTTGAAATCAGCCGCCTGATGTTGGATCACGCCTGCAGTTGCCATGTCTCAGATGAAAAGCGAGCTGGTGGATGGGAAGTGGAAGTGATTTAAGTTCTTGAATTGTTTTCACTGACATGTGAATCCGACGTTCACGCAATGCTACCTCTCAAGTTCTCCCTGCCGCTATGCTATATCCCTCCCCTTGAGGGTGCCTTGAAGTGAAATGTCCGTGCCTGGCTCTTTGAAATCAGCCGCCTGATGTTGGATCACGCCTGCACTTGCCATGTCTCAGATGAAAAGCGAGTTAGTGGATGGGAAGTGGAAGTGAGTAACATTCCAATTGTCAGGGGCTCAAACTGCACACATTCTAGCGCCCACTGAGTTATTTTCCCAGTGGTGTGTTTTCAGGGCCCACCTTAGCTTTCCGGGGGGTAGGTAGACAAGTTCAACCTCCACCTCTGCTTGGTAAGCCTTTGAATTACAGTTCTAGCTAGCAATGCAAAGGCCCTGGAATGGTCAAGATCCCTTTGATGGACCAGGTCCTGTCCCACAACAAGGTCACTACAAGAGCTCCCGTAACCGTGGCAAATTTCAGTACGTTGACGTGTTGGGCGCCCCTGATCGGTTTTTTTGCAGTGAATTTCCACCACCAGGAGTTCATCAGACTTTGAGGCCATGCTGCAACAACGCTTTGCGCCAGCAGCTGCGGCCGTTGCCGGGAAACTCTATGTTTGCGGCGGAGCTGACGAACCTAGCATGACCAGCGCTTGAGTTCGATGCACAACACGTAGCGTCAAATGACGGGTTGTGAAAGGTTACTTGTTAAAGCCTTGCATGGCCTCACCTCTTTGATTCGCTGAGGATCGTGGCCAGCTAGATTCCGTCGTGCCATGACGGCATTCAGTGCCAATTGTTCAGCCACAATCAACACAGTTGCCTTTCCAGGAGTGCTTTGATCCTGTGAGGGAGTGCTGGGGGGAGATCCCCTCCATGCATTTTGCAAGAGTTCGGGCTGCTGCTGCAGCTGTTTCAGACTAAAGCAGGAAGAAACCTCGCACGCCCACCACCGAAAAGACGCACAATTTCTTGCAGCGTGTTTTTTCTGTTGCAATGATAGCGGGCCATGAGGTACGTGGATAAGTTTGTCAAGCTTGGCGCTTTGACAGGTTTCCAAGTTCGAACGAATGCTCCCATTGACAGGCGGAAGTGGAGCGGTATCGTCAGCAGCTTGAAAAAGCTTGTGAGCAGCCTGAGGCGTGAGATTGAATCAACGCGGCACATTGAGAGGCAGCTGTATTTTGACACACCAGGTTCTCCAGATGAAGTGCGACAGGAGGCGCATGGAGCTCTTAGAGGCTGCAGCTCATCAGGACCAGATTGCTTCGAGAGTAGAGCACGCTGACAATTGCAGTGCTATATATTTATAGCGACGGACTGAAAGTTAGAATGCGTTTTGACCCCGATTGGGTTTGGCGCGCGGGGAGGCCTTATTTGGTAGCATTCTAAGTGTCCGTCAGTGTCCTGGAGTTAGAATGTTTCAAAAGTTATTTAGAATGGTTCCAGGGTTGTGGTGTGGTGTGGTTTTGATGATGTTGTCATGCGGCTCAGATGAAGCATAGTGCAAGAAGTGAAAAAATGTGAACATGTCAAGGGCTGAGAATTGAGAGCATACAAGAATCCATATGGGAGAAGGAGCATACAAGAATCCATATGGGAGAAGTGAGTTAGAACAGCTCAGCAGAAACATTCACACGGCATGATGAAGAAGGATGTGTGCTGAAGTGAAGTCTGAGGGAAAGCCCAATCAAGCCTTCGTTCACCCTCCGCTTCCTCTTAGGCCCTCTCCCCGTACTTATCCTTTCCTCTTTTTCCGCGTCCCTTTTGCCTCTCCTTTCACATTGAAAGCGACTTAGAATGCGCCCAGAAAATAACATATTATATAGCTGAGAATGATGAAGAATCAAACATTGCCCAATCTCAGGCCTTCCTGCACTTTCCTCCTTTGGCTGGGGCCCTCTCCCCGTCCCATTCCCTTTATATACTCTCCCATTCACTGTACTTTTGTTTCTCCTTTCACTTAGGAAGCTAGAATGGAGGGTGTGCCCTCTTCAGTCAGGCAATGCGGCATTTCCCAATCTCAGACCAAACCTGCTCAACTGCTGGAGCACTCCAATCTAAAACTATATGTGTATGGCACACATACATATAATCCCACAGTGACGGACTGAAAGTTTAAAGGGGGCACCCCACATTCTTACTGGGCGTTTTTTCTCCCGGCGTGCTGAGCATTCTAACTGTATGCTGAAGTGAAGTCTGAGGGAAGGCCCAATCAAGCCTTCCTTCACCGTCCGCTTCCTCTTAGGCCCTCTCACCGTGCTTGTCCTTCCTTCTTTTTCCGCATCCCTTTTTTGCCTCTCCTTTCACATTGAAAGCGACTTAGAATGCGCCCAGAAAATAACATATTATATAGCTGGGAATGATGAAGAATCAAACATTGCCCAATCTCAGGCCTTCCTGCACTTTCCTCCTTTGGCTGGGGCCCTCTCCCCGTCCCATTCCCTTGGTATACTCTCCCATTCACTATACTCCTTTTGTTTCTCCTTTCACTTAGAAGCTAGAATGGAGGGTGTGCCCCCTTCAGTCAGGCAATTCGGCATTTCCCAATCTCAGACCAAACCTGCTCTGCTCAACTGCTGGAGCACTCCAATCCAAAATTATATGTGTATGACACACATACATATAATCCCACAGTGACGGACTGAAAGCTTAAAGGGGGCACCCCGCATTCTTACTTCGTTTATTCTCCCTGCGTGCTGAACATTCTAACTGTACATGATTTATTTTTTGGAACTCGCCGACCCATTCTAACTTTCAGTCCGTCACTATAAGTACTTCACTGCCTTTCCCTTCCTGTGTTCTGACTACGTTCCATGGGGCATTGAAGATCACAGCCTTCGGGAGATGTGGAACACAAATTGGGTATTGTGGAGGAATCCTGGAGCGAAAGAACGCACGAATCAGCAGAGTCGGGAGGCGAGCACTCGTGCAATGTCAGGATTGGCATGTTCCTCAAAACGATTGAAGACTGTCTATAACACTAGTGCCTCACTTGACAGTTGCTTCCAGCTAGCAGCTAGACGATGGGGTCTCCTAGAAACTGTACTTGTAGTGCACCAAACGAGGGGGGAACCGTGGGGAACCGCTTTGAATTCTGCATGCTGCATGATACCCTCAACAAATCACAGTTACACACAGTCACCGGAATTTGCCTTTTTTGTTGTTGCTCCTGTTCATGTAGAGACGGGGTGTTTTTTTAACGCACCTGTCAAGTTTTGTGCGACAAGTTGTAGACAACTCTCGCCAGAACAGCAGGATGATCACACAGTGACATACAGAGGGATACAATTTTCGACAGTGTTCAGAAACAGTGACTACGATTAAACAGAATGACAGATGCACAATCAGGAGCAGGAGCACTTGGTGCTAGTGGCAGCCAGGATTACTGTAACTGCTTCAGCCCCGTACAATAAGACAAAACTAATTTTTGTTTTTCTTTGTTCTTAGTGAAATCGAAGCACACGTATCAAGGAATAATACACTGCCCGAAGACTGATGTGCCCACAGGGAGGCTCAATTTGGAGGAAGGATTCCAGGTTCCGCCGTGAGGTGCAGTTGCCAAGCTGGACATTTTCTCACTGTAGCGTTGGCATCAGGCTTGCCAGTGGGTTTCATGCCAATTCCACCTGGTGACGGTGAGTTTGTGACGGCTAAAAACTCCACAGATCACCAACATACAATACCCATCGCAGCAGATTAGCTTTGCCTGGAGGTTGCTCAAGACCTACCTGCATGCAATTCAAGAAGCATTCATGTATATATATATATATGGGATTATATGGGAGTTGATCTAAGACCCCGTGTAAGGAGTTTTATATAAAACAGCCTCTCAGATGGTGTTAAAACCATCCGCGAAAGATTCGCGATGAGGTGCGCGAATGTATGTTTTTTATGCGAAAGATTTATCGAAGGTCAACGCTTTCATATCGATCAACCACCATATACCTACTTTGGCTGCTACCTGGATCAGGTCCTGATGTTTGTAGGGAACCAGAGCCTTTGCGAAAAGGCTACGCCGCTACGCACCTGAAATGTAGCGGAGGAGAATATGGCGTGAACGCCTTCCCGGTTTTGTCCTTCTAAAGCGGGCACCATTGATGGGTAGTTGATGGCTCTTGAATCGACTGCATTTGCAATGGGCGCGGACATATCATATGTGCAAGGCAATGTTGTCGGCAGGTGGTGAAATAAATTGAAAACTCAATTGTAGTTCTCGGATGTGGGAAGGCTTGAAGGAAGTGCGCAACAAAGCAGCACCCGCTGAAACATAAGTAGTGCGTAGAGTGTAGAGGAGGCACTGGTTCCAAGATCAATGTGCACGGCCAAATGTGTAGAGATTTGTCAAGGAGTTTTATATAATGATTTTTAATGACACCACTATTTTTGAAGCAGTAGCGGCGAACCAATCATTGCCACAGGTGACACTGTGAGCACAGGCGGCCCAGAGGCGGGAAGGCTATGGGAATTCTCTAATTAAGTAAATGACTAGATGTAGCCGCCTCAGCCAATGCGGCCTGGAGCAATTCAAGGCTAGAGATAGCTTTGGTGCTGATTTGCAGATTTGCAGCTCCCCAAAATGGAACGTGCCCCAAGAGATCTAGAAATCAAATCCCTGCTACTTACTTTACTTGGCTTGTATGCTTGTTAGCTCACCTTAGTGACCTAGCGGCCTACCCCCCAAGGCTTCAACAATAAAGAGAGAGAGAGAGAGAGCACCGCCGGATGTGACTATATAAGGTGTTTTGCAAGCTACATAGGTTTTTGCAAGCAAGGAAGCAGCACAAGCCATGGAAGACAAACCAAGAGAGGCAGGATATTTGACATTTTTGTCAGTTGCCACCTTGTGATTCATGTTGGAAGCGTGCTGAACCACGCATGCAAGAGTTGCACAAGTGCCGAAGAGCCACCAAGACGTGCGCAACTTCATTGCTCAATGCAAAGGATGCTAAGTCAGGGAAGGAAAAGGAAGAGGTGACGGTGAGAGCCCTCCCCAAAGATGCCAAGGACAATCAGCACTTTTTTTTGACATTTGGCACCACTTCATTGCCGAAAGCTGCATGGCTGCACAACGTCCAGGATTCAAAGAAGGAGGACAGATCCAAGGCGGACAACACAAATGAACACACAACACCAAGCATTCCCAACTATGCACTACGTCCTACGTGGCAACATGCATCATTTTCTCCAGAGAGACCTTGCGACAGACGTATTGGCGCTCAAGGTAAAGCAGAAAGTGCAAGAAAAGGAGAAGGATAAAGACAAAGACAAAGATAAAGACAGAGAGAAAGATAAGGAAAAGGGTAAGGAGATGGAGAAGGAACGAAACAAAGAAAAGGATGGAGAAAAGGACAAGGAAAGGGAGAAAGAAAAGGTGGCCGACAAGGAGAAAGAAAAGGAGAAGGGAAAGGAGGGTAAGGACAAGACGGAGAAGACCAAGGATAAAGAGTCAAAAGAGAAAGAAAAGGAAAAAGAGAGGGACAAAAAGGCCAAGGACGAGAAGGCCCCACTACTTTGTTATTTGCGGAGGGAGGGTTGAGCGGGGGTGCATTGGAGGTAGAGCCCCCTTTTTTGTGATAAGGACAAAGACAAAGATAAAGGAAGAGCTAAGGACGAGAAGGCCCATATGATATGCAGACCTGCCCATGTTTTTCCCTTTGGATCTTTCTTAATCGCACATCCATAGGAGAAGGAGCGCAGGAAGAGGAGCACTGTTTGCGGTAAGGGGACATGGTATTGTCATCCAGCAATAGAAACTGGTTCTTGGAATCCTTGGAGGAGTCGTGATCGTGATCGCAGTTCCTCGCAGAGGCGGATATGGAAATGTATAAGTAAGTAGTAAATTAAGTATATACTCCTCCAACCTAATAGCGATGGCCTCCAACCTACTAGCAATGGCCTCCTACCTAATAGCGATGGCCTCCTGTATTATATATATGCACATGCTGCACTTGCTTATGATATATATATATATGATGCATATATATATATAAGTGTGCTGTGTGTCGGGAACGTTAAGCGTTGTCAAGCCGCTGAAGAGAGCAGCTCCTTTAACTTGAGTTATCCGGGAAGCAAGCAAAGTGGAACTACCACTGACAACTACTTTGCTCGGCTTGGGTCTCGACTACTTCTGAAGGCGATACTACCAGCAAAAAAGGGCTTGCAGTCGGTCTTGAACGTTGCCCCTTTCTGCCATGTTGTTATAGAATGAACCCAGTGCCGCCGCCAGGAAAAGGAAAGCAAGCCCTGGGCGTGCACAGAAGAAGCGGTGAGAACACTGTACTGTCTCCACCAATTTCATATTTAATCTAATGTCGTCAATATGTTTCACACCCAAGCAGGTTTGTGGGTTGAGCATTTGAAGGATGGTTGGAATGTTTCACCTGAAGATAGCACAAAAAAAAACATACAGGTGAGTTTCCAAAGCTTTCAGCCATCAGGTGGCCCTGCATTTGTGTGGTACGCCAGTTGCACCTTTGCTGTACCCAAGCCAGAAGTGGCTCGCTGGGGTCTCACCTTGTTCAATCAACAACGTAAGCCATCAAGATGAAGACTGTGTGGGTGCTTTGGTCAAACAAGGAATCAAGGAATGACGAGATTTACCAGTACGCAGGCCGCTGAACACGTGGCGAATACATTTTGTGGAATTCTGTGCATTTGCCTCGCTGAGGGTTGCCCATGGGATACTGTACCACAAGAAAAGCATTATCAAACACAGGATCGAAGGTGTACTTTATCTACATACAGATCAGCAAACTTTATAAGCAGTTCAGCAGGTAGCCTGTCCACTACCTGTCACAACCCAGATCAACCCAGTAGCTTTGTCATGGATCGAGATGGGGAAGCCACGTCACTTCCAGAAGACGCACCTGATGGACACATTACCCACTACAGCGTCAAGACGTGCGCAAGCGACAGTCCTGAATCGACAGTGGCGGCTTTACAGTGCTATAATGGATATTGATATAAAACTTTGATATAATAGGCCATATTGTATACTAATGTATAATTTTTGCAGTTCTCAAGACTTGAAACCCATGCCGGCCATTTATTACTGTAATATGATGTACCTACCTGTGCCATGTCAGTAGTGTCGCCCATTTGGGCCCTGTCTCAGGTATGGAGGGCGCGAGGGATCGGAGAGAGCAACCTTTTCAAAGGAATTGCTTTTCAGACGACAAAGGTAAGAGCTGGCTCGAAGCAAGCTGCAGAGGTTCCTCGGTACAGTTGCTTTGTGAACCAACGAGAGGCGAACAATCAGGACAGTATAAAGACATTTCCCAAAGCAAGTCTCCAGAGTAGCCAAGCTGGCATGTTGCCCCACGCCAAGAAGTACAGTAGCAATGTTTGACAGTTTGACGGCAATAATTATATATACAACAAGTCTAAGTCAAATGCGAACCTAAAGCTCTACCCAAGCTATGCGTTGATCCGCTCAAACTCTGACTTACGGACGAGCACAGATTCTATTTGCAGGTCTGTCTAATGAGAAGATCCAAAAATGCATCAAGCCAAGAAGCACATAATATATGACATGGTTATGTTAGGTCTCCATGCTTACGCAGCCACTTAGTGGACGCTTGACATCCTTTCAATTCGAGAGCAGGGGATCATTGGTACAGTCCGATGGTGCGCGCCACTGCAGTTCCATAATTTGGTCAAGAACAGAAGAGGCTACGGTGCCTATTAGGGACTATATATATATACATTCATTGTTTTTCATTGTCTTGTTTCCTTGTTATATGTGGTTGTTGTAGGAGTATGGCTTGGCCTGCTTCCAGCCCACTGTTTATATAGGTCAAGGACCAATTCGGTTAGCACGGAGCAGCTTATTGTCGAACAAGAATGGAGACAAGCACCAGTAACTCAGTCAGAACAGTATAGGACGCTATATACTAGGAGCAAAGGGGATCGCTACTTGGAGCAAGGACGCTACTAGGGGCTCCTGGCCTTACTATTAGGAGCAAGGACGCACCAGTAACTCAGTCGGATGCGGTGATCACACTCAAATACGGCATTGTCGGCTTGCTCTTGAGGGATGATGCTGCTGCTGATGATGTTTATATGATGTTTGCATGCTGAATTCAAAAGCCTTCTATTTCTTGGATGCCATCTCTAGGAAGTCATGGCTGCTTGATCACCCCACATGTCATACATGCAATCCTCAAATCTCGCGCTTCAAGTAGTTTTGTGCCGCCCTTGAGTCCGGAAAGCTTGCCCAAATGCGAAGGTGATCGGCTAGTATTCGGTTCCCCACATGCTGGCAACTAGAAGCTCGAAGCTACATTCATGGGGATTCTTACTGTCATACTGTAGTTCGTTTAGAGCCAGGCCCGGATCGCGACTTTTCGCCTGGAACCATGGGACTCCGTAACCCCTTCAACTTTGGAACCAGGGCCAGCCTTCTGCCCAAGTGCAGCAGCTACATAACCCTTGTTGGTCTTAGTTGTGGCTCAGTTGTGGACAAATGCCAAAGAATTGCAGGTCGGTAGCTGGAAGAAAGTGCTTAAGCTGCCAAAGCCCTCAAGTATTTTTCTATAGTTACAATTATTAATCCTAGACAGGACTCATCATGTCGCAGACAGGCAGACAGGTCATTATAATCATCATTGCAGTTTCACCGAGTTTCACCTGGTTCATTGCGCGGGCTTCCTGGATTCTGATTGAATGTGGGAAGGATAAAGAAGGACGTACTGAAATTCCGCGACGAGTGCTATGAAAAGGTTCACTACCAAATCCGAAAGCGGGCAAAACGGCCCAGGCCAGGGTTGCTGTCCTACGCCGCCTAATCAAACCTAAACACTTTTTTTGCTGGTTCTGACTGACTCGTGCCAGACGCAGTGTCAATGACAACTTACAGCTGACGCTGGCTGGAATGAGGCACAATGTAGGCTGGCACTTTGGGCATCGAAGGAATACACATCTACAAACATTGGTTTCATATGGTTTCATTATGTTGGAAGCCATCGCTACTAGGTTGGAGGCCATCGCTATTAGGTTTCTTTATTTTCTGTATGTTCCTCATGTTTTTGGTTGCTCTTGTTGCGGCAGTTCCACGAACATGGACCCTTTTGACGTGATCGCCAAAGAACATTTTCACACCAGAATCTGTTCTGAGGGTGCAGGCTGTCGGTGGTGAAGGTGGAACGAAACGACAGGTAGAAGATGCATGCGGCAGATTTGCACAATATGATATGAACCAGTAGTGTTGCAAAATGTTGCAAAGTCATGCCTATTACTGTAACAGCATGAACAATGTATAACTGTATATGCACATATATTTTCGGAGGGCTGGCCACTGTGAGCGCGCAGTTGTTGACTTCTCTTCACAGCTCGTGATGAATTGCTTGTTCTCCAAAACTATTTGTGGCATTTTGTTCAATGCAAAGTTAGGATGGTGAATGCAATCATTTGTTGCTGAATCAAGATCGATGCGAGACACGTTTATTTTCGTTTATATAGCTTATATGTAGATTTTTTGGAGATGCAGGTGTGGAGGAAAGGGAACAGATGGCAGGGAACAGGCATGTTTTCGGTTTCGGCGTAGCCCTTTCGAAGCCCTTCCTGTTCTCAGTTTGCTTTCTCCGTGCGTCAGTAGTTTTTTGAGTTTCTTTCCTCAGCTCTTGCAAAGTCCTATGAAATGGCTCTTACTGAACATTTAGAAGGCCAATAAGAAGGAGAAAGGAAGGCTACACAGCCATTGAGAATATAAAGGGCTCATTCAGGCTCATGGTAAGAAAGTGAAGGTTATTGGATACTCACACCTAATAAAGAACACATTCCTCAAGTAAGACTAGAAAGATGTCCTGTACATAAAGAGAGTCACTGGAAGGGCTGTTCTTTTTAGCAGAACAATTCTTGTGGAAGGGCAGTGAGTGCAATCAACAGTAGAAAGAGGCAACGTAATTTCAGAAGAGGAGGACATCAGCACAGCACATTAGCTCTGGACTGGGAAATTTGTAAGGAAGAGAAAAGCCACCCAGCGAGGACGAGCTAGTTGTATGGGAATCGGAGGACCATCGTCAGGGCCTAGTCAAAAAGCAACTGTATAGTTGTAGATCCTGGAAGAAATTTGCCATGGAAACAGGCACTCCAAGAAGTGAGATCATGTAAGACCACCTCCCTACAGCTCCTAGTCTTTTTGCTTGCTTATTATTCACTCGCTTTATCGAACTTGTCCATATGTAGCATGCAATGACAACACTACCTACCTGACCAAAACAACCTCTTGAGCTAGAAAGCGCTTCAACCCGCATCAAATACCAATGTTTGTTCGTGACTCTACGAAAAACAAGGTTCACGGCTGATGTGCCGCCCTGCAACTCTTTGCTTGTTCTTATTTGGTTGATTTCATGTTTGTGGATGTGTTATTTTCTATTTGTATTTGCAAAAGATTTGTCTTAGAAGTATCTGGCAGGTGCATCATGGTTAAGCAATTTTCCAAAGGAAATTGCTTGTATCGTATGTTTCGCTACAGAGAAATGCTAATTATTTAAGGAGTGTGGGAAAAATGTTCTTAAAAGTGTTCTTGAAGATCTGATGATAAGTGATTTGCAGTCATCCCAAGGTCCAGCCAAGAGTTCCTCATGATAACTGTTCTTAATTCGGAACACTTTGCAACTCAACACGCAAGTTTCTTTCACTTTGCAAAAGAAAACTTGCGGAGAAGTGTTCTTCCTTCGACTTGAAGATCATTACTCCGATGTGCAATTTTGAAAGCTTGCCCTTTATTTTTTGCTTTATCATCAAATTCCAGGGCAGCACACCATTGCGCCATCTACAAGTCCCCACAGCCCGGAAAACTGTCAAAGTTTCCGGCCCAGAACCTCGCCCTGTTGTTTGCGTGTGGAGGCCTCATGTCAGAACCACAGATAGCGCGATGCCAATCAATGCATAGGCATAGGTTTCAATTCAGCAAATCTCAGTCTGGCCCCCCAGCTTGCCAGACCTGCATTTGGACGCTGCACCAAAGATGGCGCAATACTGAAAGATGAATTCGAGCACGGGTGCCTACCTTTGTTCTACTTGCAATCATAAAACCCCGCAGTTATAGCAATTTTTGTCCTCAGCAATGCTAATTGGGGTAGAGGTGGAATGCACCATCTACTGGACCATCTGCAGAATCTACGTACAAATCGTGCTTTTGTCCAGGTGCAACCTTAGATCTCGAGTCGAGTCTTTTAATGCGGAGCGGAGTTTGCGTGATTTCTAGCTCAAAGATGATTCCATTGCACATTTGTTGTTGAGCCATTTGTGAATATGCCGGCTACCATCGGCTACCCCTGAGTTGCGCCAACAATTTTATCAGTAGAGTTGGATGTTGCATAGAAGCAACGGTAATTGAAAGAAGCGCGTCGTAATACACAAAGGAAAGCACAGTGAGGCAGGCACGTATAAAATGTACATCCTGACATCGTTACACGGACGTCATTAACCCCCAACCCCCACGCACCCCACCCCACCCCACCCCACCCCACCCCACCCC